AGAATCTGGTTGTTGATACCTAGTTTACTTGATGCACTGCAGCAGCAAGGTCGATTGGCAGGACTGAGTTCTGGATCCTGCTCTACAGGAAGTAAAGCTCCTCTGCGCTCCAGCAAATCCCAGCTGTCCTCATGGAAACCAGATACGAGATCAAAATGGGAGCGAATCTCTTAGTTAGTGTTTGCACTGGGAACTGGCTCAGGAAATTGAGTTCGACAGACTGAATGATCAAATCATCGTCTGAATCCCAGACAAAGCAAAGGCACAATGTTGAAGACGAGTGAGTGAAACACAAACAACTGAAGTAAACTGGATTCTCTACACTGAAAAAAATTATATTAAATCTTTTTAAGGTAAGTGGTTGCAAACAATCAATTTTAGCTACATTTAAAAAAAAAAAACATGTTGAAAGTTAGTCAACTAAATTTGTTTATTTAAATGCAGCTAAAAATAAATTGATTGCAACCACTTACCCTTAAAAAAAAGTAGTAAATTCAATTAATCTTTTTTTTTTTCAGTGTATGGTAAATAACACTGTACTTGTCAAAGGTTTGGAAACATTATGATTTTTAAATGTTTTTAATGAAGTTTCTTATGCTCACCAAGTCTGCATTTATGTGCTCTAAAATACAGTAAAAACACACAAAAATTGAAAATATTATTACAATTTAATATTAATGTTTTCTATGTGAACATATGTTAAAATGTAATTTATTTCTGTGATCAAAGCTGAATTTTAGCATCATAACTCCAGTCTTCAGTGTCACATGATCTTCAGAAATCATTCTAATATGCTGATTTGCTGCTCAAGAAACATTTCTGATTATTGTCAGTGTTGAAAACAGTTGTACCGCTTCATATTTAAACAGAAACCATGATATACTACCATTCAAGTGTTTGGGGTATGCGTGTGTGTGATTTATTTTTTTATAGAAATGAATGCTTTTATAATAATTGAGCAGCAAATCAGCATATTAGAATGATTTCTGAAGGATCGTGTGACACTGAAGACTGGAGTAATGATGCTGAAAATTCAGCTGCGCATCACAGGAATAAATTACATCTTTAAAATATATTACAATAGAAAACAATCATTTCAAATTGTATTACTGTTTTTACTGTATTTTTGATCAAATAAATGTAGCCTAGCATAAGAGACTTCATTAAAGCATTTAAAAATCAAAATGGTTACAAACTTTTGACAAATACTGTACACTCTAAAAAATGCTGGGTTAAATATAACCCAGCGCTGGGTTAAAAAGGGACAAACCCAGTTATTGGGTTGTTTTGACCCAGCGGTTGGGTTGTTTTGACCCAGCGGTTGGGTTGTTTTGACCCAGCTGTTGGGTTGTTTTGACCCAGTGGTTGGGTTGTTTTGACGCCCAGCGTTTGTGTTGTTTTGACCCAGTTGTTGGGTTGTTTTGACCCAGCGGTTGGGTTGTTTTGACCCAGCGTTTGGGTTGTTTTGACCCAGCGGTTGGGATGTTTTGACCCAGCTGTTGGGTTGTTTTGACCCAGCGGTTGGGTTGTTTTGACCCAGCGGTTGGGTTGTTTTGACCCAGT